TGTCGCTAAGTACCAAACCCCATTTTAGAATAGGCAAACTGTTTTTATACTTTCTGATTATTGTCCCTTGAAGACCAATCAATGATTAAACTGGTCTATCGTAGGTGTGAAGAAGAGGAAAAGAAATGTACCAGCCCCGAATGCACCTGCTTTGAAAAAACAGAAATCTGTTGTGGAAGAAGAAAATGAGGACACTGCTGAGGATTGTTCTGAAGATCCCCAGTTTGAGAAGTTTGTAGTTGAACTTAGGAGGTGTTTCAAGAGGCAGGAAGCACAAAATAAACAAATGCAAGAAGACTTGAAGAAATTTGTCCGTAAGGAGATTCGTGCTGCCTTAGTTCCAAAGGTCAAAAAGACAGAACCAACCAAAACTTCCCATGCTTCACAGGGCCCAAATAAATCGGTGGTTAAGGCACCGATGAGTGTGACGAAGGCATCTAAAAAGATGTCTACAAAGAAAGTCTTCAAGTCTGGAACAAGAAAGTCTTCAAGGCTGAATAATATAATGACGTCAGTTGCTGAGATTACTCAGCTTCCTGATGGTAACTCTTCCTCTGAGGAAGATGACCATGTATGGCATGTACGTACATTTATATATAGTATTTTAAATGTACGTACATGAAGATTAATAACTGTAACTTGTCTGCTATGGTACAGGATGAAGCCAACAATGAAGGTGGTTTTTCTGTAAATGATGGAGGAGATTTTTCGAACAGAGACGAAGGTATGGTTGACACTGGAGTAGCTAACATTTCAGTTGGTGGACCTACACCTTCCCATCAGGTATGTCGTGTACAAATATTTTTTTCAATTATTTCCAGTTGTGTACGTACACATAGGCTTCAGAAGTGTATGGTATACTATGTTTCAGGATGAAGGAGCACGTGATGGTGGTGAGTCTGTCCTTGTTGGTACACAGTCAGGGACCGAGGAAAAAGCTAGTGCTGACACAGAGATGGAAGAAATTCCATCTCATGTACCTTCAACCTCTGTACATGTATGTCTTGTGCTAATAGTCACATACTGTTTTCCATAAGTGTACCATTATCAATTATTTTCAGTTCTCCACGTACATATAGCTTAAGAAGTGTATGGTATACTATGTTTTAGGATAAAGGACCAATTGATGGTGGTGAGCCTGTCGTAGTTGGTACACAGCGAGGGACAGATGAAAAACCAACTGCTGACACAGAGATGGTAGAAAATCCATCAGGTTTACCTGCAACATCTGGACAGGTATATGGTCTGCTAATAGTCAAATGTAGTTTTCCATATGTGTACTCACTGAATGACGTGTATGGTATATTTGTTTCAGGGAGAAGAACATGGTGCCGGTCTTGAGAGTGAAGCAAATGTTGGGGAGCAACTAGAAATTTCTGAGGATAATGATAGAGATACATCTTCTCAGGCTGAACACACCGAGGAACCCGGTGTAAGTGTACGTACATTTGTCTTTCTTATTTCCCGTGTACGTATAAGTAATGATTGTTTCAGACATCACAAAATAGAGTATATAGCCGATGAAGTTGATAACTACTGCCACAGGTTGATGCGGGAGATGTACCCAATGTAGTTGCAGAGAGTAAAGTGGATGACTCAGTACTTGAGGGCACCCTAGGGGATCCCCCTTCACCATTTGCAGTAGTTAGGAATGTAAGCTAACTATATTTTTAAATAAAATAGTGTAGTGTAGGCTTGTTTAAATTTATAATCTTCTATTATGCAGGTGTTACAGGAGTTGGCAACGAAAGCCTCCATGGATGTGGATGCAGCTAATGTAAAGGAGGTAAAAATCTCGTGTTTGGTTTAAAATTATACACAGTTATTAACATACGTACATAGGATTGTATGCGTACATTTAAATAATTCTGCACGTTAATTTCAAAAGGGAGTGTTGGAGCAGCAGGGGATTATCGACGGGGTGGAAGAACAAGAGGATTCAAACCCAGGGTTAGATGAAGCAGACACGACAGTTGGTACACTAGAAAATATTGTGAGTATCTTCCCAGTAAATATTATCATTACATTTTGAAATTGTTTAATCATGCTGTTTACAATAATACTTCTTTACAGGATGAACCAAACAACGATGCTGCACTCGAAGCAGTTAAAATTCCTACGCCGGTTGTACCCAAAAAAATGAAGAAGCAAATAATTGTTGAGATGGATGACGCCCTTCCGGAAGGTTTTAAGGAAACAACAGTCCTCGTGCAGGATGTTCCTGGACGAGCTGAAGATACAGAGGTGGTTATAGCGGCTGGAAATGTCCCTTACAACCCCTTGGAGAAGGTTGATGCTTCCAAATTAGAGATCTTAACCAATGTCCTCCGCGGTCCGAATGTGTAAGTATCGTGCATTATCAAAATTATCCCTTAATTGATACATTGGTTTTCTATAACAACCAGGCATACTATAATATTGGATATACAGGAAGCACACTCTTTTCGGGTATCGCAAAGTGGACAACGAGTTTTTCTCCATGCTTATAGCAGAAGGACAGTGGGTGGATAATATGGTAAGTTGAAATAGTACATTTGTGTACATTTTTTAAATATGCCTGAATTGTACGTACACTGACTGCCTATGCTATTTTCATTTCAGGTCTTGGAAATGCTCGTAATCTTGATGTGGCACAAGAACGGTCAACAAATGATAGCAAACCGATGCGTTGTTTTGGACTCCTTCCTGCTTTATGAGCTTACTAAGCGTGCTGTCAGCTTCAGGATTTGTAGAAATAAGCATGGGTTCAAATGGGGCGACCGGCTATACGACATGGCCAATGGAATACACATACACCGTGAACCTAGTCTTAGGTGGTTCAAGGATGTCGACGTGGTATATGCTCCGATGAACTGGAAAGGTGATCATTGGGTTGGGTTGGCAATCCACCTCAGAGCCCGGAATATAGTTGTCTATGACGCTCTCATAGAACACACGCGGGAGTCTGTTGCATGGTCAAAGATGCAGCCTGTCTGCGAGATGATGCCGTACCTAGTGAGAGCGATGTGCGCGGATGTATTGCCTGCGAAGTACTCAGTTGAACCTTTTGCCTATGAGAGAAATGTTATGGTCGCTCAAAACCCAAGTACAGGAGATTGCGGGCCTTACGCAATGAAGTTCTTGGAGTTGCTGGCGTTTGGTAACCCAATGTCAGACTTGGTGAATATTCAAGAAGCAGATATGGCCACCTACCGTCAGGTGTACGGAACAGAAATCTACGAGCACGGCAAGCGCGAGTGTGGTAACCGGCGTTTATTGTAATCATCCCTGGATGTTGAATTATTTTTATTTCCTAGTACTTATTTCCTTATTTCAACAACCTAATTAGAACAACGTAATTAATTATGGAGATCCTCAAAATATTTATGTAATCGTTATAACTATCTTCTCTAAACCAACATGTGTACGTACATCTTATATAACGTACGTCTTTTACACAAAGTCGATTTTTCTCATAATAAGATATCTATTTCTTTACTTACATTGATTTGACAACCCTCCCCCACTGCATCATCACTTACGTAAGATTGCATTAACTACAACCATAACTTAACCAACTAACTTCATTGTTCTTTATTTAAGAGTAGGAATTGCATTGTTTTGAAACACCAAATTCCAAGAAATGTCTACACCAAATCTACCAGAAGATTTGCTAGCCAAGATAGCCAAAAAAATGGCTGAAAAATGTTGGTGGTACCTCGGACCTCTGTTAAGATCAGGGCGTGGTGGAAGAAACATTGTCTACAGGCCGGATGTCTTGAAAGATGCTAATATTTATAGCATGTGCAGTGATCCCGATGACTTCCATGCGGCAGGCCATGATCCGAATGACATCAACGCTGAAGGTCGATATAGACCCTTTTTCAAAAGGTGTCTAGAGGCTGGTAACCCGATTGCTATTTACCATGAAGGACTGCGTCTAGTTACCCATGAGTCTGACATTAAGGGCGCCATTGTACTTTTACAGCGGAATGTACCAAGGCACGCCGATGCAACCCTGGCCTGCGCTATTCTGTGCATATGCGACGGGAATGCTCACATGGGTGGTGTGTACCTACGCCTGTTCGCAAACAACCATTACGCTTTGGAATCAGAAGAAACACGTGACATGTGTGAGGAACTCCTAGAAGAAATAAAAAATTATGGAATTAGGTTAAACAACACATACGGCGCAACCTTTTCGTATCCTGAGGAACGTGGTATTCAAACGCCTCCTTGCGCGATGCTGTGTTACATCATATCTGGACCCTTCAAGAATGTGTGCAACGTATGTTACCTCTGGTGGTGTGCGAGAAGAATTAGTCAAATTCTCTAGGGATTTCTTACGTAATATTATCTGAATTTCTAAGTTTTTATGTTATAATATGTGGCCTTTGCAATTGTAAATAGGCTTATCAGTAATGAATATATTTTTATCTACATCCTTGCTTGTTTCTCATATACTACTCAATCTTATGAATGGTTACAAATAATTGTAATATTTTATATTAAATTGAGAAACAAGTTTTTTAATGTTAGATAATGGTGCCTTGTCTACACAGGCTTACGAATTATCAGTAAATACATACTGACCTGATTTAGCCATTGATAATGACCTCTATCTTTTCAAAAAAAAAAAAAATAAAAACGCAAATTAATGTACATATATACGTACACATCCCTGTAATTAATGTACACTGTCTTTTGTCAGATAAAACGAAAATGCAAAACAAAGAGATTTGGTTTTTAATGCGTTTCCTCCAGATTTAGCCATATACATGAACTCAATCTTTTCCCCTAATTCGGCGACAGACATCAACTCAAACTTTTAGTCAGAGAACGTAATAATGGTAGACATACGTACACGGGTATACGTTACTGTGTACACGTATTTTAGTTGGTTTGAAACTAGAAATATGAGAAGCGACTTTCGAGATGGTAGCAAATAATGATGCAATGCTGATTGATTTGACCTGTAATAACCCATATCTACAAGTTTTGGAGTGGTTATTTAATGCATACTGTCAAGCTCTATTCATAGAATGACCTCTATCTTTTCCCATAAATCTCCTTACTTTACGTACACGGTTTGCAATTAATGTACACTTGCATTTGTCAGACAAGAGGAACTTTAAAATAATGACACTTTATTAATGCGTTCCCCCCAAATGTAGCCATGTACATGAACTCAATATTTAGGCCCTATATAAACGATATCACACACACTAATTTATTTGCTCACATCATTCTAAAACTTCCTTTTTTCATCAACTGCAAGATTATTTCTAAACCTCCTTTGTTAACAACATGGCTTTCCCCGCAACCCCTCCAACCGAGATGTACCTTGCAATACAATTGCCAAACCCGATTTCCGTCCTTATCAACTACCTGCCCGTATCCCAGACTCCCATCGAGACCCTCCGCCAATTGGTCGAAGCAAGTGACGTAAACGCAATAGTGATGGACGACTTCATCACATGGCCTCACTTCGTGCAGCCGGAGTCTCCCTTCAGGGCCTACTTCAGCCTCTTGCTGGAAAGGGGTGCGATCCCGGCTATATACCTCGAAGGTGTCCGCCAGGCAAGCAGCTTCCTAACGGTGGCCCACGGCATTACACTACTCAACTCCATCGCTCCATCCAACCCTCTCGCCTGCTTCGCGACCGGCTTATTCCTAACTTGTACTGGCAACCATGTCGACTTTCTTCCAGTCAGCGATATGTTCTGGGCGATGACACCCACATTAGCGGCAGCTCACGCAGTGGGGGAGATGGTGATGTATCACATAAGCCAGCTTCACACCGAAGGTCCTCGGCTCTGGCAACGTTCATGGAGGTATGTGCACACACCGGCATGTCTTGGCCGTTGCACGTACAGTTCCGGCTGCAGAGGGTGTTTCTTTTACTGGTACGCGAGGGAGATGTGTGTCTTCTATTAGATATGACTTTGATAATGACGGATGAGGCATACAATTTTCCGGCTCATGTGTATGCTTCGGGCTCTACTTTTTAGTTTATTGCTTCCGCATCTAATATATAGTTTGTCTTTCTTAAATGTATGTCCTTCTTCGGGCATTTAATTATGAATGAATGAAGTTTTTGTTGTTTGAGGACAACAAATATGATATATGTATGTTTTCGTGTGCGAACATGGGTTTCGTACAATTTGCTGATTGAAGAACCAAAAAGCTAGTAAAACGTACACTGGCAAATTAATTGTAATTGTAGACAATGTACGTATAAAATGTACGTACAGTTACCCAATAGTTTATTATACAAATTCAAGTAATTAGAAAACGACAACAAGTTTATGTAGTTTTACAATACTTAATATAAATCTGGTCATTAATAATAAGAAGACTGGGGAAAACAAATCCCCCTATCTAAAAAACGACCTGCTTGATCTCTTCCACTTCCGGTGTGTCCGGATCGGCAAAGACCTTTGACACAGGACCATGACTCACAACCTTAGGATTAGCTCTGTCGGTTAAACGCCAGAAGACGAGTGCGACAACAACATTGCGCTGACCTAGACTCCGAAAGAAGGTTTGGAATTCCAACGCCTGTTCATTGTGTGCTTCGCATTCCAAAACTTCGTTGCTGCATTAGATTAAAAGAAGAATCAAGTCAGCGTTTAGATTAAAAAGTGTAAGTGAATCAAATGTGAAAAGAACATTTACTATCTATCTTTGATCTTGAAAGGAAGCTTGAGACCGTAGAAGTCTCCGGTCAAGTGGCCAACCTCCAACAACGCTCCAATGACATCTACATCAAGGGCCAAAAAAATAGAAACAAACTTCTAATTTCAAAAATGTGTAAATAAAACGTAACTTAAAAAACATCTCACCGACTAAAACTTTCTTATCAACTGTTTTCTCCAAAATGTAGTCGAATTGAGTGAAATCGTAAAACGATATTGGGTCCCTTCGTAAGGCGTTAGTAACGACGGTCCGATCCATAAACCATATGCCGTAGTCATGAGATGTTGCTCTCACTGGGTCAGCGACGTTACGGACCAAGAAAGTGGTCACAATTTTCCACTCATTTTCTTTGATTCGGTCTATGTAAAAAGGAGCAAGGCGACGATCAATGGTGGCCTCGATACGGGAACGGGATCCCTACAGAATATGATATATAACAGATTTATATAGAATTGAACCTAACGTATGATAAAAAAACACAAACACGGCACAGGGAAACTACCAAATTATCTGCCAAGATAAGGTCGAGTTCGAAGATGTTGGGCGCAACAAACTTCTTAAACACTCTCACGACAAATACACAAATTGTCCACCCAGTGATCTGAGGACACAATTCGGAGATGGTGTGATACCCGGCCATCACACGGTTAGCAAGAACAATCGAAAGACTTTGTGTTTGATTGATGTAACTGCCGAATGTGAAAGGGTTTTCGTTTGAAGGAACGTGGATAAAATTGAGGAGGAGATGTGGCTTAAATAAGGAAATTCCGTAACGGACGCGGTGGGTAGTGCGAAAGTGTTCCAACGGTTGAGATACAAAAGTGTGTAACCGTTTGTAACCGTTTATTGCATGAAGATTATACGTACATAGACACAACAAACACGTACACTAACAAAAACGTACACTCAGAAAACGTACATTGTTATACGATGGCAAACATTAAACGTACGTACACCGTCACAACACTTTGGTACACACTGTCCACACATAAACGTACACTGTCTTCGCGGAGACATAAAGCTTATGAGGAGAACTAAATAGGATTTTTGCAAGTCTTCTTGTTATGACCTGCTTGTCTACATCGTGTGCACTGATTCGGAATAAGTCTTTTCTATCTCTTTTTCTGAAATGACAACAACAATAAGTTAATAATCTACGTATCTTATACTCAAAACATAATGTTTGAAAAATCTGAAGGGGTTTGAATGATAGCACTTACCCGGTTTTCACCTCTAGATGGAATCCGTTTGGTTGTTGGTCTTCCTGGTGGTCGTCTACAGTATGGAGGAATTAGTATCAAATCCGATATATGTTGTGGGATGACAACATCCTTCGGATCCGCGATAGGTAGAATCGGTTCTTGAAAAGAATCGGAAAACGTTTGAAGTCCATACCACCATCCTACAACAACCTTTGGATCTATTCCAAACTCGATTGCAGCTGCTAGACCGTGTTCACATGGGATTCTCAACTTTGTGTACCTAAGACACGTACACGTACACTCGTCCAGAACGACATGAAAATGCTCACCTGACTTGCTTGTAACTTGATAACTCCACGGTCCAGACATCTTAACCGCTAATTTCCCTGACGCAGGCAAATCTTGGAGAAAACGTTCATCAACCTCAGGCGTCACTAAAGACTTACACCTAGCCACTTTTTGCCTCCTCGCTGCGAACCATCGCATTAGGACCTCTCGAATGAACTCTATCATGTACACAATCGGATATGATTTGGCTCTTGTTAAGACATTATTCATAGACTCCGAATTGTTGCTAGACATGATATTGTAGCGTTCCCCTTTACAGTGAGCTCTTGTTCAATGCTCAAATCCAATTTCCTCTAAGTAATTTGCGCATGCAGCACTCTTAGCCCTTAACTGTTCGAAGTATTTTTCAAAATCTCTCACTCTGTAAGCTTTAGCAGCGCTGAAGAATAATCCAGATACACCATACTTACCATAATGGGTGGAGATATTTCGCTCAAGGTGTACTGCACATGCACCATGACGAGCTTTCGGATAAACCACACTGAGGCCTTTATATATTGAAGAATGTCTGTCCGATACAATCATTAAATCTTCATTGTCTGGAACAATGTCAGCTAATTTATCAAAGAACCACACCCATGAAGCGTCAGTCTCACCATCCACAACACCAAACGCTATTGGAAATATTTGGAAGTTCCCGTCTTGGGCACATGCAATGAGGAGACATCCCTTGTAACGTCCTACTAGCTGCGTTCCATCTACGACAATTACCTTCCTCATATACTTCAGACCTTTTATAGAAGCCCCGAGAGATACAAAAACATACTTAAAGCGCTGCGTACCATCAGCTTCAGGTGTAGAGTGTAGGTGAGTTATCGTACCCGGATTAGCTAATTTAAGAAGATACAAATAGGTAGGCAAAAACCTGTAACTTTTTATATCATCCCCCCTTACATTTTCCACTGCAACCTCTTTAGCTCTCCAAGCGGTAGAATATGAAATCCGAACATTGAGATCATTTAGGAGCAACTGTGGTAAATCGACAGCTCTCGGACCCCCTTGCGTAGAACTGTATCTGCTCTTCACTACCTCTCCGAGAAGCTTATAACTAGCATGTTTATTATAATTCTTACGAGTGTCGATGTCACACGTATGGGTGGTATCATACGATGTGATTTTGAAACATTCTGAATTCTTGACAACTTGAGCTGTCAAATGCCATGGACAAGTATCATCAACGCAGACCATCTCCAATCTTGTAGGACATGACCTACGTTGCTTGTAGCAAAAGCATTGTTTGATTGCGAGATAAGACATTGTTTGTTGTATGACTTTTCTGTTCATAAAAACACTCCCGACATACAAAGTCTCACCTGTCGTACTCAGTTCGACTTGTGTCTCATCATCTCGTAAATTGGCTAAATCATCGAATACCGGAGCAGCATCATTATCGAGAATCTCCAACTCGCCACCATGTAATGTAGAAAAGTCATTATACACTTCGTAAGCCTCAGCTGCGGTAACTAACCGATTATCATTCAGTGTCCCACTTGCGGAAGCTCCAATACCACGGTCGATAGTGACTTCGTATATACCATTAATATTGGTATCCGTGTTACCTTCGCAGCCTGTATCTTGTACACACTCTGTAGTGTACGTACATTGGTACAAACCATGTTGACACGTACGTCTTGGAGTCCCCGTTGGTGTACGGTCACCCGAATGAGAAATGTTATCTCCGCCAGGTGCAGTAACTAGCCGATTATCATTCAGTGTCCCACTTGGGGAATCTCCAATACCACGGTCGATAACATCATCCCCAGAGACATCGTATATACCATTAATATTGGTATCGGTGTTACCTTCGCTGCCTGTATCTTGTACACATTCTGTTGTGTACGTACATTGGTACAAACCATGTTGACACGTACGTCTTGGAGTCACCGTTGGTGTACGGTCAACCGAGTTATTTCCTCCAGGTACACGATGACTTGTGTACGTACACTCTGCCAATAGACGACTGAATTCCCCTGGATGTTGAACCGTTTGTTGAGTGAGAATGACGTCCTCCTCAACATTCCCTATTCCATATTCTTCAATAATTAAATCGTTCCACTTGTTGTAATCGTAATCTTCGCCACTGCCTTCACTACCGTCTATAGTAGGATCGAGGGTACTTCCCCCCATAGATCCATCATCACCCTGATAATCATCATACCCAGCACCATCTTCGTTGTCCTCCTCCTCTTCTTCATCCTCATCTGTTTTATCGTCTTCAACATCGTCTTGCTCATCTACGGCCTCATTATTTCCATCTACATTTGAAGCCGCTACGATGGGATTTGGTGTCGTTGCACTCCCACACACACGGTAACTCTCACCATCGGTCCTAGGGACAGTATTCCCGAGTGCTTTGAAAGAGACAAACAAGGTGACACTAGGATCCCCACCACGAATCAAAAAGAATGTATCCAGGTTCATTTGATTGTCAATGTATACAGGAGGGCGTTTACTTTCTATCATCACTGACATCTTTCCCGGCATCCAGTAACTAATTATTGGATTGCATTCGGTGCACTTCAAACTGAAAACCTCGCATAATGTACGTACAAATGCCGTGTACGTCATGTTTTGCCTAACACGTACACAACGACCAAACCAGCCTTCCCATGGTTCAAATTTCCATTCTTCTTCTTTGCATTTCCACTCACCCACCATAGTAAATACGGGAATATCCATTACCAACCTGCATCATAAATTCAGCAGAACCCCATTAAATGCAAATGAAAGCATGATTATATCTACAAAAAACAAAAAGAATTCCCAACTACACACTTATAAACATAAATCTATCCTCATTTAGCAATTTCAACTAAAAAAAGTGGAAATAAAAATATTCTGGGTTTTTATATAAAAACAATGTTGATCTTAGCACACAATCAAGACCCTAGTGTGTTAAAACAAAAAACTTCTTAACCAATTTCATTACTTACACGTTCAATGCTTGTCTTGGCTCCAAACTTTGTAAATCAAGAAGATCAAACCGATGTAGAATCACATTCGTTCAGAAAAATTTGTTTGTTTCATGGATCATGTTTGTCTCTTACAACTATTCACGCATAAAAACTAATATTAGAAAAAGTAATGATGACTTTTGCATTAATTGTGACATGAGTCATGTCTAAACTTTTTGGGCATTAAATACTGATGTCTCATTGTGTTTTAATGTTTTTAATCCCAACTTGTCACTGTACTCCCGCACAAAATCAATTAAGAGCGAAATATATTGCGTAACCGGAACAGTGTACGTAACTAAACCTCTTAACTGAACCGTACAGTGAACCGCTTAACTGAACCGTACGCTTAACTAAACCGTACAGTGAACAGTACATCGGTAGGGGTAAAATGGTCAGATTTTGGCCAAAATGTCAAAACATGAAAACTCATTCTCACTTTGCCAAAACTTGAAAATAAAACTTGGTCAACTGCCATAACTTGAAATTTACCCTAAAAAGAATTGTTGCAAAAAAAAAAAAAAAAAGATTTTGGGTATCAGAGGAATATACAGTAGAGGTGAGCATGATCGTTTATATTAGGAAAGTAAATAAATCCTTCGTCATTACAATCCAACGACTCCGTTGATATTTTAGTATTAACGCAATTAATTCGTTATCCATATCATGGCCTCATATTTTAATTAACACGATACAAAATTTAATCCATTATAGAAAGGAAAAAATCAAGATACAAAATTTTAATGCAAAAAAGAACACATTTATATATATATGTGTTTTCGAAAAAGTAAATAGAAATGGTTTTTTTTTGTTATAACGAAAACATTCGAATTTCCTACCAATTCTTTTCTATGATTTTCCTTCCACTTTTTTATGAAATTTCCTACGACATTTTCTTCGTAGAAAATTTCCTACGAACCTCTTACGACTTTTGTAACAAATGCGTAGGAATTTGGTAGAAAATGATTTTTACCAAATATTTGGTAGGAAATTCGAAAGGAAAAACCTATGTAT